CAGCACCACCCCGCCCCAGCACGACCCCACCCCAGCACGACCACCCCCCCAGCACGACCACACCGCAGCACGACCACCCCCCAGCACGCCCACCCCCCAGCACGACCACTCCCCAGCACGAGCACACCGCCTTGGTTGAGTGGTTGCCTGTCGTCGTGGAATGTTTCGTGGGGTGCCTCGTGGAATGTTTCGCGGGGTGTCTCGTGGAATGTTTCGTGAGGTGTCTCGTGGAATGTTTCGTGAGGTGTCTCGTGGGATGTTTCGCGGGGTGTCTCGTGGGATGTTTCGTGGGATGTCGCCCAGTTGGGTATCGTGAAAACGTGACCATGCTGCACATGTCTTTATCCCTTTCCGGGTTCGTGGGTCCATCATGTTTCGGAAAAAGCACGGTATCAGTACCCTTCTGGTCCGCCAGGAAGGAGGAGGAGGAGGAGGAGGAGGAGGAGGAGGAGAGGAGGAGGAGGAGAAGGAGGCAGGAGGCGGAGGAGGAGGAGGGGGAGAGGGGGAGGAGGGGGAGACGGCGTGCCGCAGAGCGCGCGCGCAGCGGCCGCTCTGCATGCTCTGAAGTGTGCAGCGCGCAGCTGCCGCTGACGACGTGTCCTCCTCCTCCTCTTCTTCTTGAGATCCTGGTCAGGAAGCACCTCTGGAGAGGCCTGGGGAGTAGCGGTATCAGTACCTTCTGGTCCGCCCAGGAAGGAGGAGGAGGAGGAGGAGGAGGAGGAGGAGGAGGAGGAGGACGTGTCCTCCTCCTCCTCCCTCCTCCTCCTCCTCCTTCTTGAGATCCTGGTGAGAGAGCATCCCTGGAGAGGCCTGGGGAGTAGCAGTATCGGTACCTTCTGGTCCGCCCGGGAAGGCCGGCCGAGGCCGGCGGGGGCAGAAGTCGGGCGGGTCCGTCCGCGGGGGGCCTGCGGAGAGGCCGGAGGCCGTCGGAAGCAGAGCATTGTCCTCCTCCTCCGCCTCCTCCTCCTCCTCCTCCGCCTCGTCCTCCTCCTCCTCCGCCTCCGCCTCCTCCTCCTCCGCCTCCTCCTCCTCCTCCTCCTCCTCCTCCTCCCTCCCCCTCCCCCTCCCCCTCTTTTAGGAGCGTAGGGCCTTCACACCCCGCCGTGGCGGCGAGAGGGCGTGAGAGGATGACCGCGCCTCGCGCGCGCAGCGCGGAACGCGAAGCGCGATGAGCAGGGGCGCGTTCGCCGTATCAATGATCTTACTGCGCTCATCGCTGCTGGTGTGAGCGCCCGCCAGCTCACTCGTCAACCGCTGCGCCGCTCTTTGAGGAACAGAAAAGTGATAGAAGCATACATTTTCGGAGGTCCGCGCGGGGTTCTTGGATAGGCGCTGGACTCCCTTCCTTGGCGCGCGGAGCGCGCCAGGGGCTGCGCCGGAGGCGCCGCCACGTGGGCCCAGCGCCGATCCAAGAACTCCGAGCGGACCTCCGAAAACTTATGTTTATTTCATCGTTTGTTCCTCGATCTGCGACCACTTGCGACCCCAACACCTACGTCCAATCTCTGCTGGGGTATCGGACACTCCCTCTGGAGTTCACGTGGCTGTAGGTATCCTTGAAATTCTGAGCCCCAGGGGTAGGTTTCTCATGTGGTTGCCGAGCCGCGCATGTTGCCCGTCTGCTTTGAGAGTGCGAGGTTGGGGACAATGCGATCGACATTCCGAACGCGAACGTCATCATTCAGATCTCTGCTCACTACGGCTCGAGGCGACAGGAGGCATCCCGGTCGACGCCCAATGCGCAGCCAAGTGCAGTCCACGCGGCGCGCGCTCCAGAAAATGCATTGCCTTCGGTGTATCTCGCCTGCGGCGGAAGGCCAGAGGAAGCCGGCGGAAGCAGCACGGGGGGCGTCGTCGCTGGCGGACAGAAAATATGGCCAGGAGATGTCATGTTGTTCTGTCTTAGGGTTTCTGGAGCTGGCTACGCGGGCATCCAGCATGGCTCATGAAGCATGCTGTTCGGCTCTTGATGCATGTGAAGGTTTTGTTCCGTTGTTGGTGAAGAGGCTATACCGTGGTGGTTGTCCTGATGATGACGGGGAGGGTGCTGGCGCGTACGGATGCCTCGGGGCACACAGCCGTTGTCGTTTGTATTGTGCCCAATGTGCGTGGACGAATCCAGACGGGAGGGGCAATCGAACACTGGTAAGAAACGTCATACACATATACTTTCGGTGGTCTTCGCGGGTGCATGCCCTTATTCTTCAGGCTTACGCCACATCCGCCGACCCCTTATGAAGAGTCGCGCAGTGGTCTGGTCGCCTCTTTGGGTGGTCTGAGGCCCCTGGGCCATTCTTGGGGCATTCTTGGGTTGTCTTGGGGCCCCTTAGGCCGTCCTGAGGCAGTATTGGGCTGTCTTGGGGCTCTCTTGGGCTGTCATCGGGTGCATGCCCTTATTCTCCTCGCGTTTCGCGCCCCAGCAGTCTCTGCAGCTCCTCGGCCCCGGGTGCCCTGTGCGCGTCCCCGCTGCTTCTGCGGCCCGCGCGCAGGGAGGTGGGCTGCCACGGCGACGCACGCAGGAGTTCATCGTCCACGACGGGGAGGAGGAGGAGGAGGAGGAGGAGGAGGAGGAGGAGGAGGACGAGGAGGAGGAGGAGGAGGAGGAAGAGGAGGAGGAGGAAAAGGAGGATGAGGAGGAGGATGAGGAGGAGGGGCTCAGGTTCGGTCGGGGTTCCGCACGAT